GCCCGTCGGCGCCCCCCTCCCTGCCTGCCCCGGCAGCGCTTTCCTCCGTCAGCATCAGCTTGTTGACCTGCGGATGGTCCGAGGAGCGGACACTGCGGGCAGAGGGAGGGCATGCTCAGGGCTGCCTGCCTGCTGCCTCCTCAGCTGCCCCCCAGCCTGAGCTCAGCACCCCCCCGGGATGGGCAGGGCAGTTTGGGGGATGCAGCTTGTGTGGAAACCCTAAAAGCTGTGACCACAGCTCCACAGAGCAGCCTGCCTGTGTCCCTGGGGACCGGGATGGCTTTGCAAGAGGCACTTCATGACAAAATCCCTGTGGACCAAGCTGCAACCTCCCATCCAGCATTGCCTTTCCCTAAAAGCCACCCCATGCCTCTCTGCTCCAGGCAGGCAGAGGGACGGTGCAGTCCCCAGGACACAAGCCAAGTCCTCACCTGATGAAGAGGGTGCAGAGGATGAAGATTATCAGCCCCACGATGCTTGGGGCGTCCCACCAGGTAGTCAGAGGCTGTGTGGCCATCGCTGAGCCAGTGCTGTTCCTCACCAGCAGCGTGGGGTTACAGGTCTGGGCTGGGGGGGACATGCAGGGGGTTCATCACCTTTCCCCAGCCCCCAGAGACCCAGAGGGGAAAAGCACCCACCCCAGTGTGTGGTCCCCATGCAACCCCTTCCTGAGCCCAAGGCCGCATCCTGCTTACTTGGTACATTGGCCAGGGCGGACCAGGTGACGTAGATGGTGTAGAGGGTGATGAGGGACGCCTGCAGCAGTCCCGAGTGCGGCTGAGCATCCTGCAAACACAACGGTGGGTGCTCAGGACTGGTCCTGTACCCCACGGCGACATGGCTACCAGCCTCCCAGGTGCCCCCACCACCTCACCTGGATCTTGGGCAGGATGGACACGGCAGAGATGATGAGGCAGAGGATGAGGTTGATGCTGATGAGGACCTTGCCCTCCGTGCATCCCTGGGGCTTGGTGTAGTAGACATAGAGCAGCACTATGGCCGCAATGGAGGTGGCATAGAAGATGAAGGTGACGATGCAAAGGGCTGGGGAAGAAAGCAAAAAGGAAAGAGGCTGGAGCAGAGCCCGGAGTCCCCTCCAGCTCAGTGTCACCTGGCCCCAGGATGAGCTTCCCCATCCCAAAACCCTCGGCAGTGCCAGCCATACCAACCTGTGTACCAGCCCTTGGCGTTGCCCTCGTCCGCGTTGCGTAGCCACAGCTGGCTCCAGGAGTGGGCGAAGTCAATGAGGAGGATGAGCTGAATAAGTATGAAGAGGAAGGAGCCAACCACACCAAAGTAAAACCAGACTTGAGGGAAAAAGAAAAACCAGTTAAGAGCAGGGAAAACAGGAAGGGGCAGGGGCCCACAGCCAGGTTTGATCCTGCGCTAGGGTTTAGCCCAGAAATGCAGAGGACACCAGGGGCAGCTCCTCACCTGAGGTGAAGGCACCGTCGGGGATGTAGAAGGCCCCCACTGTGATCCCCACCAGCACCAGGAACTTGAAAAACCAGAAGCTGCAGGAGGAGAGAGAAGGCACGGTCTGTGAGCGGGAACCCAGCAGTAAAGGGGGGGTCTGCCCCCACCCCAGCACCCCCCAGCCCAGGGACAAGTGCTCACCCGTTCTGCACCGCAGCTCGCGGGTCCTTGCTGCTGCGCACACACACCATGATCAAGGCAAAGAGGAAGAAGAAGGCAGCCATGGCGAAGCCCATGCGGTACACGGCTTTGTGGCCCAGGAAGCTGCCGCAGTCAACGTGGGTCTGGACCCCCAGGACCGACCCACTGCCTTCACAAAAGCCGGGAAGCTGCAAAGGCAATGGGAGAGTGAGCATTACCCCAGCATCCTGCACCCACCATGAGCCCTGGTGCCACCAAAGATAGGCCAGCCCATGACTGCTCCAATGCCACCCATAAAGCCTGCTCGGGGACAGTGGTGGAGTGACACAGATAAAGCCACCCTGCAGGTCAGTGAGAAGCTGGGATGAAACCAGCATTTCCCCAAAAGCCTGGCCCAGCCTTTGTGTTAGCTCAGCTGGCAGACCTCAGCTCCCACAACCATGACTTGCAAGTCACTTGGCCAGCTGAACCCCCAAAAATGGGATGCAGGAAACTGTCCTGGGAGACATCTGAGAAACAATACATGAAATTATCCCACTGGATCATCCCCTCCATGGAAAACTGGGGTTAAAAGCATCCTCTCCCAGCAAGATGCTCAGGAAAAAAAGGAACAGAAGCAACATCATGACCCAAAAATTCACTTTCTGATTCAGCCTCCCATACCCACCACAAGCTAAACCTCTTCCCTGTGGCAATCAAGCCCAAGGACCCCTGTGAGTTATTTACCTTGTGCAGCTCCTTCTCCACACCGGGGATTATCATAATGATGGACACAAGGGTGCCGAGGAAGAGGAAGAAGGTGAAGAGGAGGCGGGAGACAGTGGAGTTCTTGGCCGAGGGGCAGCAGCCACAGAGCAGGCATGGCGCAGAGCCACAGAGACAGGACGCCTGCAATGAGAGCATCCCCACGTCAGAGGGGTCGAAACTGGCCCCAAAACATGTGCCCAGGCTGGGGGCTTTGCTTAGAGCTTCTTGCCAGCCAGCATCACATCCCACACCCCATGGGACCTCATGGAAATGGCCCCAAACCCCTCCAAAAAGACACTGAAAACCAGAAGAGCTGCAGGAACAGGTTCACTGCAATAACCAACCAACTTGGAAAATGGCACTGAGTCCTGTAGACACCCTCATCTTCTTTTTTGCTCCCCAGCAATTGCATGCAGAAAACGGCTCCAGTCAAAACAAAGCACTGTCCTGCAGGAGCCTCCTTTCAAATAAAAGGAGTTTGCAAAATAATTTAAGGCTGCCTTTTCAGTCTAATAGGGGATGGGGAAAACACGGATATCAGCGCTATGGGGAAACATGTTCTGCTGTCTTTCCCCTCCCCAAAGGCCATTTTACAGGTGGGGAATCTGAGGCACAGCACCCTTGGGAGTCCTCGGCGGGTCCTGGCTTCCCAAAATCCAGCATCGGCAGCACCGCCACATGCACCCTCACTCCTTGCTGTGCCAGAGCTGTGTGCAGAGTGGGGAACCAGGGAAACCCCAGCTAAACAAAACCCAATTTAGCAAAACATTGGCAAAACTGTGCAGAATCAGGCTTGCAGGGAAAAAAAGGAATTTTTTTATTAAACTGTGATTCCTAGACTTCCCTGGCTCCTGCAAGCCATCACTAGAGAAGTGTTCGGGAGATGCTGTTTGCATCCCAGCAGTCGGGCTGGGCTGGGCTGGTATACACCATTCTCAGCAGTTCATCCCACAAGCTGGATATTTACCCGCCTATTTAATACCTACAAAGTTTGGGAGTGCCCCAGTCATTTGCCTTAGAGGAAGAACCACTGCAGGGGTTTTGCATAGCAGCTTTTAAAGCCCATGAGGGGACAGAAACGCAGGATACGGCCACAGCAGGCCCTGACGGTGGCATTTTTTTTTGGCCCGGACGTTGGCATTCCGGATCCGGATGGGGAAGATTTTCAGCTTCTTAACCCCCTGCCCCAGCCCCGGGATCTCCCAGCTCGCTGCCACATCCTGAAACTTCTATTTGTCCAAAAGAGGGTGAAGTTGAAGGATAAATAAGGGCATTTTCAGGCAAGAGAATGGGAAAAGTTTTTTGGGATGGCCTGTCACTGCTGGGTCACTAATCCACTGTGTCATGTGAGCAGAAGGTCCCATGTTAAATATTTGGGCAAAAAAATTGGGGAATAAGGTGTCTCTGGGGTTTGCACTGAGGCTGCTGCACTCTTGGGAATTATCGGGGTTGGTTGGGGAAGTGAAACCAACATCTCGCATCAAGGCAAAGCAGGTGGCGATGCCCTCCTGGCCGCTGAACCGGGAGCCAGCACTGACCCCATGTAAATGAAGAGGTGGGCTGAAGTGCTAAATAAAACCTCAAAGGACCCAAAACCTAAATTAAAAGTAAATTCCCAACTCTGCCCCACTCCCCACGGTGTGAGCGGGAACAGCAGGGCTCTCGGCACAGCCCAAGCAGTGCTACAGCAAAATACACCCCGAGTCCTCTAAAATAGGGAAACTTCAGGCTATTTTCTTTTTTTTTTTTTTTTAAAAGCCTCACTGAAGCCATCGCAAGCCTCCCCCATCCCACGCACCGGCCCAGGGAGCAAGGAGAAATCCCCAAGGAGGTGCAAGCTTCCAGCCACAGGTATTGCCTAGAGACCAACGGGGATTAAATATTTGGAGTTTGTTTAAAATATTACTGCTTCGCTTTCCATGTATTTTTCTCTAGCTAAAATGCATTCCCAAAGCCACTTATTTCAAAATTTACAGCATTGGGCATTTGTCACCCTCTATCACCGCCAGCTTCTTCTTGAAATCCCATGACCACCTCTGGTCCTCGGTAAACTACTTTCCCTCTATTTACAAACTAACTTCATTGGTTTATTTTGCTTTTGATACTTCATTTCTTCCCTTTGAACAGCTCTTCCTCTCCTGCACTTGAGACGCATCAGCCGACCAGATGCACTTGTAAGCACAAGAAGAGTCCAGCTCCCTCCTGGTATGAAGGGATGCGTATGTGTTGTGTGTTTATTATGGCTAGGTACACCCTCATTATGCCCAGCAATCAATATTAATTAAGTATTGCTCAGTGTCAACTCAAATATACATTTCTCATTGCTAAAATGAGTGTAAAAAAGGGATGTGGCAGAAAAGAAAACCAGACGCTGAGCTGCTGGATGAGAAGGGCATCAAACTCGCAGCTCCCTCCTCAGGAGGGATGAGCTCACGGATGCTCATGAGTGATCACTTTGATGCCCCCAAATCATTACAGGTAGCTTTGAATTTCTTTTTTAAACATAATCACATCATTATTTGAGAACGAAACACCTCCTTCCTGATTTATTCCTCTTTACCCACATCCCAGCCCCACGCCCCAGCTCCACCAGCGGCTGCGTTGAGCTGAGGGTGCCCACAGGTGCTGGAGGCGAGAGGAGCCCCCGCATCCCACCTCTCCAGCAGCTATTCAAGAGACATCACTTCATGTTTTCAGCTTGAAAGCATGAAAAAAAGGCCTTCAATTAGAGATTGCTTCCTTTCAGGCTCATTAGATGCACCACTAGCACAAGAATGCATTTAAAATGTGCCAGCACTACTGTATTTCCCCTTCAAATTAATAAAAAAATCGAGAAGAACAAAACTCCCTTTTAATGCAGAATTACTGCATTATTTGACCTGACCTCACAAAGCACCTTAGCCCACGCTTAACTTTAAGTGCATCAATACCTCCAGCTCCTCTCCCTTCAGCGCCAATTGAAATAAAGCACCAGTCCCAAAATCACTGAAGCTGGCCTGGAAAATCATGAGGCTTGCTGTTGTTTAGGAGGCTGTTAGGTTTGAGGGTTCAGCCCCACCTCATTGCTGAAGGCTTGCAGGAGGTACAGCCTTGGGTACCATGTTTTCCCCAGGGTCAGTGTGGGTGGAAGGGGATAAGGGGGGGGGGGCCACAGGGCCACGATGGGGCTGAGCTGAAGGGAAACCCTTGCTCCACGTGCAGCCCCCAAAGCCTGCGGGTGACCCCTGGGAAAGCTGCAGGTGGATGAGGTAGTTTCTAGTATGATGTTTTGGGGAGCCTGCAGCATCCCTGGAGCCTGCCAGAGGTTTGTTTTCAAGGACAACTCTTACAGGGCCAAGCTCTGTGGCCGTATTTCAGGTTTTACAGCCTCTTGCAACCACAGGAAGGCATCTGCCAAGGTAATGGGGTACGGCAGCCCTGTCCCACTGACCTGCTTTTTGCAGCAGTAACACGGGAGTCCCATGTCACCAGGAGCCTTTTTTCACAGTCCCTGGTGCCCTTCTTGGGTATCCCCCCCTCCAAACACCTTTGCAAAGGAAGCAGAACCCTTGTGCCATGGGCTAACCCGACCTCCTGCCCGGGCACCTCTTGAATTCAGACGTCTTTAAAAAGCAAATAGGTTAAGAGCAAGGCAAATCGTCCCACATTAAGGCAGCGCTGGACACTCTCTGATACACCTCCTTTCAAAGACTTTCAAAGATGCCCCTAAGTATGAACATGGCCAATAGGCAAACAACAGGATGGAAAAAGCCAACGGAGGGAAGTGGCTACAGCATGCGAGCAGTGGGTTAATGGGAAGCATCGGTTTTCAGACGATGCAGATGAAAGATTAATGTCTCCAGTTTCACTATCGACTTCCTCATTAAATCCAGCTCACCTCCAGCGTGACTCACACGTCAAGGCTGCCTGGTGACCAGGAGAGCGTGGCCGGAGCCGGACAAGCACTGTCCACCCAGTCCAACACAGGGAAACGCAACATGAACCCGACTACATGAACCCAACACCAGCACCCCAACATCCACCAGCTCAACTACACCAGCCCAACCACACCAGCCCAACCACACATCTTCCGCAAGCTGCCCTCGCCCCAGCAAACCCAGGGATGCAGAGACTGAGTCAATCAAAAGCAATGCCGAGCAACCGGTCTCCTGTCAAATTAACAACCTGGCAGGTTAATCAGTACCAAGCCCGGTCAGGCATGGGCTTGGAACGGTGGTGGCTTGCACGTCTGGCGGGTGGCTTTGCATTGGTACAAGGAGGCTGACAGTCCCCACAAGGTGCCCAAACCATGCGGGAGGGCTGCACATGCCCCCGGGGTTTGCTTTGGCTTGGGCAGGTTCCTGCTGGCAAACACCAACGTCGCCCCCGAAGGAAGGAAGGCAGCTCAAGATGACCGCACTGCTCATGGTAGCAGTGGGCAGAGTCTGGCAAACCGCTGGAGGCACAGAAGGGGAAATTTTTCTTGTGTGGTGCAAAGTTTCACTCGGGAGCAACTTGTAGAGTTTTAATGGGACAGTGCTGAAGAGATGGCTTGGCAACCTGATACTGCTATGAGTCAAATGATGCAGGCTGACCAGAAGGAGTTAGCTCACGTTTTCTTATTAAAAATTTTTTTAAAATACAAAGATTGGGGGTTTTGTTTGGATTTGGGGGTGGGATTTTTCCCCCGTTGTGGTTTTACAGTTCAGAATCGAGCTAAACCATCCCTTTAGCCAACCAGCTCCACTGGAAGGAACAGAACTAAACCTATTAGCAATTCTACCCCATTACCACAGCCTAGGCCAGAATAGTTTTTTGGGGGAAAAAATCCAGAATTAGGCCAGAAACCTCCCCAGCCCCAATCCAGAGTAACTCCCAGCTTTTCCAATACCTGCCCATACGGAAAGGTATCGGATGTGTGTCACAGACGGAGGCCTTGCAGACCACCCTATGTCCAATCTAATGTTTCAAAAGCTCTGGGTCGTTAAACCCCCAAAATTTTGAGGTTGAGTTGTGAAACCAGCCCCGTTTCCAGGCCAGTGGCTCCTGGGGAGGTTTCATAGCTCTGCCTTGGCCCCGCGCCCACAGGTGAGGCAACAACAGGAAAGGCAGCGCCGGCCACGGGCAGCTGCCTGCGTCACTGGGCATGGCACCCT